AACTATACAAACTATACAATCAATCTAAGTTTGACACGTAAGCATTGATAGCTTAACAACCATAATTAATTCCAGCTGGTCTTCATCACGTTATTGCTACTGCTGTACTTGAGCTTGAGTTTGCTATGCTTGAGCTTGCAGCTTGCATACTCTGTTAACTTAAGATACATTTAATAATTCTAAAAAATGGGTAGATTAAATGTAATAGGATATTTAATTATTGTCTAATGTTCACATTAATTTCCTTCGTATTATCTTGTGTTACGGTGAATCATTTCAAATCTTGTAGTAAGTGAGAATCTATTTAGGAAGTCAACGTCAATTATTGTTGAGTACCGTGTTTAACTTGAATCTTATCATTAATCATACATTATTCTTATCTTTCCACTTTACTTGAAATTGTAGTTTTTTGTTCTTTTCAACAACAAATTAATTTTGAGATAGCCTCTCGAGGCTTTTTTTCAATAATTCTTAGTCAATTTCAGACTAAAACTGCTATCATTATTAAAATCAAACAAGTACTGGTGTAGTTTTTTATCGGTTTAATTAATAATTTATTTAAAAATTATCTTTCAATATGCTTTCTTTAGAGTAATGTTATTCATCCCCACTAGGGTTACAAACACAGTCTATATGGCGTTAATGTGGCATTAAATGATATGTGAAATTAAATAAGTCATTTAATTTCATATTTCATTTAACTTATCATTTAGAGTCACCTAAACTGTATTTGGAATCCCACTATAAATGAATAACATTACTCCTTTCTTTATCATTCTGTGTTGATCACAAACAAATTCCTTATAACTACTTTAGATTATAGTAACTCATTTAGAGACGTTTTCTTGCAATTTTGTAGTAACGTAACTATTTATAAAAAAGGTTTTGAAAATTAAAATCTAAAAACAATAGACAGTCAACACAAGTTTAGGCGCACGTGTTAGAAAAATACATTGTTGACCAATACTTACAGTCAGTCAACTGTGCTGGACCCACTTTTCAGTGGGCCATGACTATACGTGGCAAAATCATAGCGGAAGACCATCAAACTTCTGATTAACTGGGATGGGAATAGATTCTTTCACATGCAGCTCCATCGCAGTTAAATACGGCACCAACACTTCCTTCCCTCCAAACTCCATACTCAGTTTCACCCCCACCCCTCTCAACTGTTCTTGATTCAATTCATCCATAATAAGTGCAATAGTTCAATTTTGCTTCTTAGGGTTTTTTTTTTTTTTTAATT